GGTCTCATAAGCGGCAGTTTAGGGTATTCCAATACTGCACCAGGCAGAAAAGGTTTCAAAATACAAAAAGGAAGAGAAAAGCTAAGGCGCTGTATATCTTTTCTACACTCAACTAGTGAGGCATCTCATAAAACTCACTGTTACGTTCTGTTTGATTAAAAGTGATTTATTTTAATTCGTAGAGTGTACATCTCCGGCTCCCCGAAGTCGAAACGAAAAGCGAATCAGCTCAGCTCTGGAATTGGCGCGAAAAATCACCATGTACAACAACCGCTACAAGGCGGCCGGGATAATCGGGCAGGAGACTGAGGTCCAGCCAGCTCCTTCACTCAAACCCAGGACCCCCGTTCAACCATATCCGTACTTTCCGTGGCAGCCTAAAGGAGACTGTTTGTCCAGTACTAAGGTAAGCGAAGGTTTTTTGCTGCTAGGTCACTCACTGGAAAGATAGCCAGCTATGATATATACAGAAATGAACTTAGCAGACCCGTCCAACGGAAAGTTGGTATAATTGCAGCGTTTCCTGTGATATATCAAACACGAAAGACCGTGTTTGATCACATTTCCAAACACCGAGAAGACGGTTGAAAATACGGCGCAGAGCGGAGTCTCGAGGTGTTGAGAAATGTAGTCAAGCACTGTCTTGAGTGTTCGATATATTCTCTCAATCGAAACTAGAACTAAGGAGAAAACGGAGAAATATAATCATAAGAATCTATGCTAACGAAGGTCAGATATCCAGACGCCGTCACGGTCATCATTTCCTTTGTTTTAACTTGTTGAATCATAAATGAGTTTGATTTTAGGCTAAGAAAGTAAAGAAAATAAATTAAAACACATTCATGTAAACCAATTCCATCTTTCTCTTTTCATTTCTGGAATGTGGTTTAAACTATTTGAAATGTAGAGAGAAATTTTAGATACACGGTTTGCGTCGTTCCTCAGTAAAAGATATGTTTTAAACATGTTTAACTTGCTGTTATGCTGGATTTTCTAGGCGCGTTTGTATGAACCGAAACCTGTGAAAGAGCAAGAACTGAAGAAGTCTTTTTCCCAGATGTCCCTGGAAGAAAGGAAAATCAAGAAAGTCAGTCAAAAGAACTCCACGCGAAAGAAAACGGTGTCCGCGGCGGCTGCTGAACGTACAAACTGGCAACAAACAGAGGAACAAATGGCGTGTCCGTCCAGCAAACGAGAAAGTATGGAATAACTGCTGAATTTCTTTCTGCATGTACCTAAATCACTCGTTATATTGCTTTTTCATACAAGAATAGTAGTATTTTCGGTAAGTTGTTTCCAACGAAACTGCGTATGTTGAGAATATGACACTGTGTGTATCGCCAGCAGAGTGGGCCGAATCGTGTTAGACCATGGTATTTTTTTCAACTCATTGTGTGTAAGATGTCGTTGATGACGATTCTTTGCGCTAAATCGCTTCGCAATCGGCCATTTTCGAGTTACCTTGTGCCTCTGTTTCAAAGCGAGTACTCGTGCAAAACCTTTCGTACGAAAATGAGTTTGATTTGCATCAAAATGAACCTGTAAAGAATGCATTTTCATATGAATGGTTTTGCATAAGACTCGTTTTGACACCGAAGCAAAAGGCAACTCGGAAATGGCCTATTGCGTTTTGATGACTCTTACACGAAGCCTATTTAAATTCAGTTCAAGAGCTCGAACCAACAAATACTACTCAGTTCCAGTCTCCGAGGCTGCCCGCGACTACAGAGCTTAGTACACCGGACAATCACGTGCAACCCGCGCCACTTGTGGGGCCCAGACCCATGAAGAAATACACCGGCAATGGACAGGCGCCACTAAACAGGAATCCTACTGGTTTGGTTAGTGAGATATTCATTCCTTTCTGTATGTTAATTAACTTTAACCTGATTGTTCGAGTTCTTTAAAAAACAGTTTACTTTCTTCATATTATCAGCTTATTTTTTGAAACATTGTATGATGTTAGTTCGCAGTAGCTCTCAGAGGTTTTTGATTATAGACATTTATGGAATTGTTACATTACGAAAGTAGATTACAAATCACAGCAATAAAACGTTTCAAAAACCAAGTGAATTGGTTGATCGTGGTCTCGGCTTTAATTGATCAGTTGGAAAACTTCTGCGTTGAAGTCAACTTGAAGAGAATGCTAGCAGCTACGACAGTAAAAGAAATTGTTTCAGACTTCAACACCAAAGAAAATACGACGAGCAGAATGTCTAAGAACCTGTGCTAATAAGCAACTGATATTAAATTATTTTTTCAGAGGCCAAGCGCAATTGACAGATTCAACCCTTTAACGAAGCCCAGTTCTACATTGGTGGACACCCCTCGTTTCACAAGTAACAATCCTACTCTAGTGACCGGACGCCATTCACCTGTTTACGTGGCTGTACCTGTTGACAGACCCCCCGTGAAGCTCAAGCCCAGGATTCGTGCCACTGCGCAGGACACGAAGGACATATCTACCATAAACGAGCTGAGGAGCAAACTGTTAAATGTCGACGACTCGGGGTACAAATCGATATCACCTAGAGTCCATCGTGACCGTTATTTGGGTCGTCACACAACACATTTCTTCCCATAATGTTGCGTGACCTTCCAGTTAAGGCTACAAAGAAGACTTATGTAAACTATAGCGGAACCTAGCCTTACGGCCAGCCCCTTAATACGGTCACTTCGTTATTATGGCCATTTTATTACGGCCCCTGCGACGAAAGCTTTTTGGCCGTTAATACGGGCAGAGTGTTTTTGCGGCCCGTCGTTGGCCGGATAAATGAGGCTGTATTGTACATGTAATGTGGTGGGATTTTCAGCGCTACTTTACTAATCAGTAAATTGAAGCCAGGCCCTCCTGAATTCGGGAGTTATTTTGACAATGACTGTATTAAGTCGCACTCAAGAAACTGAATAACGTGTTGTCCGACAACTTTGTTCGTCAAAAAAGGCTTTTTTGAAGAACAAAGTCTCGATGTGAGAGCGCGGGCAAGTTGATATGTCTGGGCTCTCATTGATAGTAAAAATTTGGTCAGTCCGCGTGAGAAGTTTTGAAATTATGAGTTATCATCTCCATATTGGTGGTCATCACTTAAGTAAAAAGTGAAATATTACGATCTTTTTATACTTAGCCTGCATGCTTCGATAGTATGGGTGCGAGGGGAAAAGAGTTTTTATCAAAGCTTTTAGTTCTGGCCTTTTATTTAACTAATCTACTTTGTGCGTTTTGTTTTTGTTGCAGAACATTAGTCACGTATGCTTTACAGAACCACGAAGAGGACGAGGTGAGGATTCTTGTCCAGGGTCCGAAATTGCGCTTTCCTGGTCGCCAATGCGACTAAAAATTTTGCACTGACGCCAGCGGGCGATTAACTATTTCATGCCACGATAATTACACAAACAATAACTTTGATTTTCAGCCAAATCGATTAAAATAAAATTCAAAGCCGCCCG